CGCTGCAGAAAACTCTTAGGTGTGAACCTAGGATAAATATATGATGACATTAATAATAATTATGATAATAATGATTATTATTATCTTACCATAGGTTTAAATTGAAGTAAAAATGTGTTTAAAGGAAGTCATACTGATTAACAAAAAGCTGCTTCGTAGAACTGAATTTCATACTCATATGCTTTTAGATGCATAATATTAATAATGTTTGATCCTTTCAACACATAACTTTCCAAAAAAAAAAGGTCTTTAGAATAGTCATTTCTCTGGAAATAACCTTTTTGAGCAATTATTAATTGAGTTTATATGAGTCATTGATCAAATAATTTTATTAATTTATTTATTAAAATTACTGGACACAGATTTTGTACCCCCTTCCTGCCCAGAGCAATTTTCAGCTTTCAGCGCTCTCATACTTTGAATGACAATTGCACTGTCATGCAATACTGTACCCAAACTAAATTTATATTATTTTTTGAGACAATAGAGCTTTCTTTTGGTGGTATTTGATCACCACTGGGGTTTTTATTTTTTGCTAAAAAAAACTAAAAAAAGACCAAAAACTTTGAAAAAAAAAGGTTTCTTACACGCTTCAGTTCTGTTATACAGGCTGCACTGATGAGGAGTTACTATTGGGCACTGACAGGCTGCACTGATGAAGCAGCACTGATAGGCAGCACTGATGGGCACTGTTAGGTAGCACTGATGGGCAGCACAGATTGGCACTGTTAGGCAGCACTGATGGGAATTGATAGGCGGCACTGATGGGGCACTGTTAGGCGGCACTAGGATGGGCACCACTGATAGGCAGCTGATTGAGCTAATGGGCACTGATTGCCAGCACAGATGGGTACTGATGGGCTCTATGGGCCGCACTGATGGGGCTACACTGATCTCCAGGACACTGATGATCAGTGCCCTGATGATCAGTGTAGATGTCCCCCTGCTAAATGCCACTTACCAGCTCTCCTGTGGAGGAGAGGACTGTCAATAACTGGCATTTCCTATTTACTCGGTGATCAGCTGTGATTGGACACAGCTGGTCACATGGTAAAAGCGGCTGTGATTGGCCCGTTCTTTAGTCATGTTATCAGCTGCATCCGAAGGACACAGCAATCATGGATCGCGTGCAGTGTGTGCCCCAGGGAGCGTGGTTTTGGGAGGACGTTAATGGACTCCCTCCCAGAACTAGCCGACCGCACTATAGCTGTCTTTTGGCTATAACGTGGTCGGGAACTGGTTAAAATAACCCATAATTTCATAAGTAAATAGAGTGCCTTGGTATTAAAAACATTAATACTAAGTTACACAAGCATGGTCATAGACATGATTTTGAATGGTCTAATGTCATGAAAGAAGGAGTGATAAAGCTGTGCTTATAAAGTGTTGGCATATTACGAGAACCAGAATAGTGTTTTTTTAAATGTAGGCATGCAGTAACCTAGATGGAGATACCTTGTGCTCTAAACTGCCATTATTTTAATTATATCAGTCTATGGGGGGTTACTGGGTTCAAAATGTAAATCTTTAAGGCTACTTTTACATGGCCATAGCACAGCCATAAGAAGTTTACTGATGATTAAGAAAAGAGAAAAAAAGTTGATTGATGTGTTTTTAATGTGTACAAAGTTGTCGTGTTCTTTTTTTTTTTCAATGGTGTATATGTATACACATGCCACAGATGTAGATTTTTGGATTCTGTGTTATGGATCCGAATGCAGTGCATGTTTGCACACTTGTGTGAATGTCTCTACTGAAAACATTCAGATCTGGAAATAAAAGATGCATTTCTTCACTGCTGTGTGAATGAGGCCTAAGAAGCAAAATGCACAAAAGCTAGGCAGCAATGTGTGGGGCCCCTTTAGGGTGGAATGTAGGGCAGTGGAACATAAGCTGACATGTTCAAGTATTTCAGACCAGAACATCCTCTTTTTTGTCACACTTCCACCTTGTAAAACAAGTAGTTGACCTGTCTCAACTTTTATTCTTTTTATATTCTGAAAAAGGAATAATGATGAGCCGACAGTTCAGTCTGAAGCTAGGCTGGGACTGAATGTTGGCTGTGCAGGCATTTGGAGGACAATCCAAGCTTTTGCCCATTTAGCACCCTGTTTGGTGGAAGTTTGCATCATATATAAAAGTGGTATTTTTATTGCTTCTATATTTTACAGCTTCCTGCTGTCAATGGTTCATAAAGAAACAGCAGGTACTGGCACCTGTTACATCTCTAGCAACCGCCGCTGTCAGCAACACATTACTTACAGATCTGGTCTCTGGTCACATAAGCAAAAAGGCAGAGATAGAAGTGATATCACTGCCCAAATGTGGTCACTGGCCTAGGGGTGGACTGACAACTCATGGGGCCCCCGGGCAATAGGGGAAGATGGGGCCCCTGTGTCCTTGCCCAAACTCAGAAAAGCCTATGAAAAAGGTACCAGGGGCATCTCATGGGGCCTCCTACTGACCCCGGGCCCTCGGGCAGTGCCCGAGTTTCCAAATGGTCAGTCCGCCCCTGCACTGGCCACATTTGGGCAACGACATTGATTTGGTGGGGAACTCACACATTCCGCCTAAAATCCATACCAGACTCAAAGGGGTTTATTTACTAAAGCTGGAGAGTCCAAAATCAGACTCCCTTCTGCATAGAAACCAATCAGCTTCTAACCTCAGCTTGTTCAATGGAGCTTTGGCAATGAAACCTGGAAGCTGATTGGTTTCTATGCAGAAGGGAGTCTGATTTTGGACTCTCCAGCTTTAGTAAATAAACCCCAAAGGGTCTGGTATGCATTTTGAGGGGAACTCTACACACATTTCTTTTTCTTTTTTTGCTGTCGCAGTGCAACAGCAAAAATGACATTTACAATGAAAAAAAAAATGGAACAGTTTAAATCGCTGGCAAAAATTAATATATATTTTTAAATAAAAAAAGGCATTTTGGGGGACCATTGAAGGGGTCTATGAGTGTTTTGTTTTGTGTAGAAATGGAAATTAAAAAATAGAAATAGAAGCCAGAAGGGAAATGTCATTTGCTAACAATTTACCATATTTTTTCCTTTGTAAATGTCAGTGCTTAAAAAAAAAAAAAAAAAACAGAGGTATTGGCGCTGGAGAGAAAAGGAAGACTTTAAAGTCCAAAGTATTATACAGGAGAAGTCCGTATTGTACAGTTTAGTGGTATAGTGTAATCAGCAACTTCAGGAGCCAGCACCCTTAGAGTAAAGATGGACTTTGTACATGGAGAAGAAAAGAAGAGAGGGGCACCGGACTAAGACCTCGTGGTCTGATGAAGAAGCCAATACTTTGAAATGCATTACCGCCCACTGTCCATACTGAGACACATGCCTTTTTCTACTGTTATCTAGTGAGTTACCCAAGTTATCTTGCTCAATTAAACTACCTTGTAATGCTGCACTTAGTATGGCGCCCCTCTCTTCTTTTTTAAAAAAAATAAAAATCACTGCTCCAAGCAAAATAGGATTAGAAACATATTTTGTGCACTGGTACATGTTCCCCAGGGCAGTACCCACCCCCTTCCCCTATGCTATTCTTTTAAAAAAGTTTTGTCCTTTAGCCCAGCAGTTCAGCATTTTTAATTTGACAGATTTGACTCCTATTGGTTTCAATGGAGTTTGGCATCTGAACTTCTTTGAAGTTTTCTGAGCCATGCTTGAACCAAACCTAGGGCAGTTTGACTTATCCCTAAAAAGAGCCATTCCACAAACCAGACTACATGGGTCATTATTGTTAATTAAAAACAGAGAGGAGACACACATTGGCTTCCTATATAATTTGGTTCCTCCTACAAGATTTCCCTGACATAGTTTCTGTCTCCCCACCCTCATTAGAAATTTTGAAGTTCCAACTCACCTTGTACTATTTTCTTGTCTATAATATGCATTGGAAACCCAACATGTTAAATCACCTCAGAATGGCTGCAGAAAAGTTGCTTGCTTGTTTACTAAACAAAAATATCAGTTGATCAATTGAGTTTCTCCAGCATCCAGCAAAAAGTTCAATATCAGTTATGAGCAAACTGACTCTTTAGATTAACAATTATTATTATTAGTATTACTTAGTGGTAATAGCATTAATAGTAATGTATATGTTTAATGTTGACTCTTTCTCATGAAACTAGTTCAATGTCATGGCTATGAAGCTGCAAATTAAAGATAACTGTAATTCAATAAATCAATAGAAGCCAAATCTGTCAAATAAATAGAACCTGAATCTGTCAAATCAAAAATGCCCATTTCCTGGGCTAAAAAGCAAAATGTTGTAAAAAAATAGCATGGCGTGGGCATTGCCCTGGGGAACATGTGCAAGTACAAAAAAAAAAGTTTACAAATTTGGCTAGGAAATTTGTAAAGCACAGACATTTACAGATAAAAAAATTATTTTACATTTCTCGCAAACTAAATTTCCCTTATGGCTTCCATGTAAAAAATGGCACACAGATTACTCCTAAGGTCACCCACAATATTTGGATTAACTTTGAAGCAGTATCTGGGCCATTTCTTTTTTAACCACAAGCCTACAGGGCACTTATACCCCCTTCCTGCCCAGGCCAATTTCCAGCTTTCAGCGCTGTTGCACTTTGAATGACAATTGCGTGGTCATGCAACACTGTACCCATATGAAATTTTTATCATTTTTTTTGTGACAGATATAGCTTTATTTTGGTGGCATTTAATCACCTCTGGGTTTTTTATTTTTTCTTAAACACACCAAAAACCACTGAAAATTTAGAACAAAAAAATTTTTTCTTAGTTTTTGTTATAAAATTTTCTAAATAAGTGATTTTTCTCCTTCACTGATGTGCGCTAATGAGGCTGCAGTGATGGGCACTAATAGGCTGCACTGATGGACACTGATAGGTGGCACTGATGAGGAGGCACTGGTAGGTGGCACTGATGGGCATTGACAGGCATCACTGATGGGCACTGAGAGGTAGCACTGATATATGGCACTGATAGGCGGCACTAATAGGTGGCACTGACTGGCACTGTTAGGCAGCACTGATGGGCACTGATAGGCGGCACTGATTGGCAGCACTGATAGGTGGCACTGATTGGCATTGATAGGTGGCACTGACTGGCACTGATGGGTGACACTGAAAAGCAGCTCAGATGGGCACTGGTATGCGGCATTGATGTGCACTGGTAGGCACTGATATGTGGAATTGATGTGGCACTGATGGGCACTGGCACATGGCACTGATGAGCACTGACAGGTGGCACTGCTGGGGCTACACTGATCATCAGGGCACACTGATCATCAGTGCTCTGATGATCAGTGTACATGTCCGCAGAATGCCGATTACCAACTTGAGCTGTCAGCGAAATGCCGATAACCGATATTTCCCTGTTTACATGTTATCAGCTGTGATTGGACACAGCTGATCACATGACCGAGCCGACATCTTCGGCTCTTTACGTGGATCGGTGATCCGCTGTGTCCAAGGGACACAGCGCACTGCCGATCGGTGTGCTGCGCGCTCTGGGGGCCGCGCATGCGTGGTTAGAATGGGAAGACGTCATATGACGTCCTCCCAGAACGAGAGAACCACCTTGCGTCCGTCATATTACTGGCGGGTGGTAGGTGGGTAAAAAAGAAGCTAGCAATGAAATATCTTTGTCAATGTGAATTTAAACAGTATCTTTTTTTTCTTTGCAAATATCATTTTTGCTGTAGCACATCCTAAAGCAAGAATGAACATTTTTTTTTCTGGTAAAGTCCCCCCCAAAATGTATACTAGACCCTTTTGATCTAGTATGGATTTTAAAGGGTTACCTCACACAGGAAAAAAAAAAATCTGTGAAGTCCCTCTATTCATTACAGACCCTTCTTCTATGGATTTTAAGGGAATCCTCACCAAAAAAATAAAGAAAAACAATTCTTGAAATCCCCCTCAAAATCCATACCAGACTCTTAATCAGAACATGCTATATTTGGCTGATGTCATATCCAGTGACTGGCCATGTAGGCAATGTGCTGGTAACAATGTTGGTTGCTAAGGATGCAGCGGGTGCCAGCACCCACTGCTTACTTAAGAACAATTGATAGCAGGAAGCTATCACATACTGCAGCAGTAAAAATACCAATTTTATACATTATGCTCGGCTCCCGCTGAGTGGGCAAAAGTTCTGGCTTTTATCTGCAAGCCCGAACAGCCAAACTTCAGCTCATCCCTACTGTTATTATATAGCCAAAACCTTTTTTTTTACTTTGAATAGAATGGTTAGAACTCCTTTGGGGTTATACTGCTATATGGGATTCCAACAGAGAAATCACCCCTCACTGTCTGTTGTGGTGACTAAGTTTTATCAGATGGAAAATAAGAGGAAAATTACAACAGGGAAATAGACCTTAAAAAATAGACAGGAAGTGAAGAAATCTCTCCAACTGAGCCTCTGACAGTAGTACAACCTGATAGGAGTCTAATCCTTCCCCACTCAACGCACAACTAAACAAAATATTTTGGGTAGAGATACATTTGTTAATTGTTTAAGGATATTTCATTCACCAAGCATGTTTAGGCACAAGACTTATTCCTTTGTAGTTGAAGCCTCCTAATGTCTTGCTTTGTTCAGATTTGTACAAAAAATCCTTTTGGATTGGTTTTAATCTTTTTATTTTACTTTATATTCAAGCATGATGCTGATGTCAAGCAGCTACTGATCTCTGCAAATGGATCCTGAGTACTGTTTTGACTGGCAACTTCCTGGTTTAAACTCAGTTGCTTATTCATTACTCTTTGTTGATAACATCTACGTTCTGCAATATCAGGCCCCATGGTTTGTTTTTCACCTATAGTTGTCTTAGCTATGTTGTCCTCTTTGTACTTAAATTCAATCCATGAACGTCTAATGAAATCAAAAGAATATCACATCTGTGCCCTTCATTCTCCTTAATTTTATATGTGAGGATGTAAAAAGCGTTTTACTGTGTCTCTGATTCTGAATTGGCTATCACCCTCTCACACTCAGTCACGTGTATAGGTGAGGCCTCAATGAGTTCAGAAAGAGAATAATGCTGGATTTAGTAAACACAAGGGATGTGTAAATAGTTCAGACCAAAATTTGTCTGTTCAGTTGCTTTGATAAATTCCCAAACTTTGGCTGTTAGGCCCCGTGTTCGGCAGGAGTCCTAAGCCAGATATAGAGGCTGTATTTCTATTGTTTCTATATATGACAAATTCCTGCTGTCACTAGTTCCTAAGGAAGCTTCAGAAGCTAGCACTCATGGTGTCCCTAGGAACCACTGACATCACCAGGAATTTTTTTTTTTGCATTATTTTTTTGCCCCGCTTAAAACTGTACCAAACCCAAAGGATCTGATATGGATTACCTGGGGGACGTCACACATTTTTTGTTGCTGTAGGATGTGCTACAGCAAAAAGACATAAAAAATTATAGTTTAATTTGGCTGCAAATGACATTAATTACCAGCTTTTTTTTTTTCTTTTAAATACCAGTCCGCTCCAAAAGTCCTCCAAAATACATGGCAGGCCCTTGGAGAGATATGTTTGCTGTCTTTTGTAAAACAAAGAAGCTGTCAATGACATGTCATTTTAAGAGAAAATTCACACTAGAACGGACAGCTGCCAGAGCAATTTACCTCTTGGACAGCTGTCAACTGCGATAGGGGACAGTGTGGTGCTTGATTTGTTTCTCATAAATGTTATGGTAGAATTATTATATTTGAAATGATCTTGGTAGTCTGGGGTGTATGCTCTAAGAAATAAGCGCACTGAATTGGTTCCCCATCTGTTCTAGGGAGTTACTCAAGTTATAACCATCTAACTGGTCTGCCTCATTTTAATATAAAAAAAAAAATAATTTGTGACAAACAATTTTGTAATTGTTTCTGGGGTCTTCCTTATCCTCCCTCTCTGTACCTCTGCTCTTTTTAAGTGCACTATATTTGTCTTTTTTTCTCCTGTTTGTCTAAGGATTGCAGTAATTTACCAGCCTCCTGCCCCAATGTCACACTTTCTTGATGACTTCTCTACATGGCTACCCTACTTTCTCTCCTCTGAGGTACCTGCCATCATCCTTGGTGGCTTTAACATTCCAGTCAATGTTAATACTCCAGCCACTTCTCAACTACTGAACCTAACCTCTACCTAACCTCAACTATGCACTCCCTGTAACCTCTTTAACACCTCTTTTCCTCTCTCTGATCACAACTTTATCAGTTTCACACTCTACCTATCTCCTTCCTCCCATGCCTCCAGCCAGCAACCAGTTACCATAGAAACCTCTGCCACTTCAGCCCTCTCCTTTACAATAAAATTGCACCCATGTCCTGTCCAAACCTGGCTACATCTGTTTACAACAACTTGCTATCATCCTCCCTGGACACACTCACTACTCTTTACACGCAGAACCAGGCCTCGCCTGCTACAACCCTGGCAAACAGATGACACCAGAAGTCTCAAGAGATGCAGCCGTGCTAAACTAAATCTCTGAAAGACTTCACCCTCTACAAATCTGTCCTTCACAAATATAACTCCGGCCTCCATGCTTCTAAACAAACCTACTATACCACTCTCATCAAAACCCTCTCATCCATTCCTTGTCAACTCTTCTCTATCCTTCATTCCTTACTTCACCCTCCACTGCCTCCACCCACCAACTTACTTACTGCCCAGGAGATTGCCAGTCATTTTAAGAACAAGATCTACACAAATCACGATGAGAACTCCAGTGTCAAGCTTTCTCCTCCAACCAACATACCAGGTCCAACACCACACTCAGTACTCTCCTCCTTCGACCCTGTTACCACCAAGGAAGTTGCCAAACTCCTTTCCAAGGCCCATCTCACCACCTGTCCCCTCACCATTATTGCGGCCTCCTTCCTGCTCTATCATAAACTCTCTAACCCACATCTTCAATCTCTCCCTCTCCTTTCCCTCCCCACTCAAACATGCACTGGTTACCCCATACATAAAAAAAACCCTACTGCCTCACTAACAACCTACTTGATCACCTACAGTCTGGCTTCCATCCACAACATTCCACTTAAACTGCTCTACTAAAACTCACTTACGACTAACTAACTGCTAAAACCAATCTCCATTACTCCATGCTCATACTCTTAGACCTTCCCCTGCCTTTGACACAACCCGCTTCTCCTCAGTAAACTCCATTCTCTTGACCTCCATTACTCTGCTCTTTCCTGGTTCTCCCCTTACCTATCCCAGTGCACTTTCAGAGTCACATACAATGCCAACTCCTCTGCTCCTCCCCTTTCTGTTGGGGTACCCCAAGGCTCCTTTCTTGGGCCCTTCCTATTCTCTCTCTACACCTCCTCCCTGGGCCAATTGACAACCTTCCATGGATTCCAGTACCGTCTTTATGCTGACGCCACCCAGATCTATCTCTCTACTCCCCAGCTCACCCCCTCAATCCCCTCATGTATCACAAATCTACTGAGAGACATATCAGTATGGATGTCACACCACTTCCTCAAATTCAATCTTTCTTAAACTGAGCTTGTAATATTTCGTCCTCCCCAAACCCCCAATAACAATTTTACCATTAAGATCAACAGCACAATCATTGGTCCCTCCCCATATGCCAGGGTGCTAGGTGTAATCATAAGCTCTGACCTCTCCTTTGGGCCCCACATCCAATCACTGGCTAAATTTTGCCACCTCAAACTCCGCAACATTTCCAGAAATCACCCCTTCTTGACTAACGAAACCACAAAACAACTTATCCACGTCTTGATTATATCCTGCCTTGATTACTGCAACTCCCTCCTCACTGGCCTACCTTTCCACAGGCTATCCCCCTTCAGTCTATTATGAATGCTGCTATACTTATACACTTTACCAACCGATCAGCAACTACTTCCCCTGTCTGCTAAATCCCTTCACTGGTTTCCACTAGCCTAACGTATAACATTCAAAATACTAACCACAATGTACAAAGCCATTCACAACACTGCCCCTAGCTACATCACCAACCTCTTCTGCAGATATCATTCAAATTGTTCACTCTGCACCTCCCAAGACATCTTTCTGTCTAGCTTCCTTGTCACCTCCTCTCATACTCACCTCCAGGACTCTTTCAGAACCTCTCCCATCCTCTGGAACTCCCTACGCCAGTATGTCCGGTCAGCCACCACCCTGTCCACCTTTTGGCAATCTTTGAAAACTCACTTATTTAGGGAAGCTAACCTCACCTTCACCTAAGAACTTTACTTGAGTCACATCCATCAGGTTATCCCCTGAAGCGATCACCTTTTGTACCACCTCCCGTTCCTTTAGATTGTAAGCTCTGTGAGCAGGGCCCTCCTATTCTTTCTGTATTGAACTGTATCGTAATTGTACTTTATATTGTAAAGCACTGTGCAAACTGTTGGTTCTATATAAAACATGTATTCTAATAATAATAAAAAAATATGTTTACTGCTGTAATATTTAGTATATGTTTTCTATTTTTAAGATGTTTAATGAGTAAAGAAATGTTTGTTTCCCAC